CATTATTATAGGATACTTTTAATTATTATTTATTATTTTATTACTATTTATCTATATATTTTTCTTTTCTTTTATTCATTTCTCATTTTATATTCATTTTTGCTTCATTTTTCTACATTTATTTCCTTTTTTGACCTTTTTCTTTGCCTTAATTTTTTGCTTCCAGTTAGTCCAACAGCATTGTATTATTTTAAGTGTTATCCCTACTGCCCTCAAAATCCTTCAAGAAGAACGCCAAGGCCGTCCGAAGAAAAAAAAGTTCAAGTCATTTTATTTTGTCTTTGCTGTTGTGTCATTAAAGTTCTATGGATTTAGTTAAAATAGCTGGATTCGGATGTCGCCTAAATTACGAAAGTTTCAATGTACGTTTTCACCTGTTGAAGAATGACATGGCCGCATCACCATCATCGTCGTTGTTTGACATCATCATTATAATCTTCTTCGTCTTTATTATCACCGTCATTGCCATCAGCAAGATAATTTATCATAATCAATTTAATAGGTGTCTGTCATTCATCTAGCCCTCTACTCATGACAATGCCTTGTTAGCCTTTCCCAAGATCACGCTAGAACAAAATATAAGACTGCAAGCAAATTTAGTAAAAGTTCGAAAGGAATAAAGGTTTAGCAACGCTTTTTTACTCCAATATTTTTGCAGTTTTGCTACACGTTTAGTCGTTTCAATTCTTTACAAAAGTGTCAGAATTTCCGCACGGTTTGGATCCGAGACTACAATTTCTTTTCAGTCTAGTCTTTGCAAATTAGATGGAGAAAGATTGTTCTTTAACTTACCTCTGTTGAGTTAATCAGGCTCCTTAACATAATTTTCAAGTCACTAACTGCGACCAGCTGACGAGGCGCGACATCTGAAATCTTCTGGATCTAAATAAAATACATCTCAATAACAAAATATTTAGCTTATCGAAGGGATGTTTGGCCTTCGGCAACTGAGAGCCTATTGCATATTTCGCTCCTTGTAGAAGGCCTAAGTTCATGAATGAAAGCAACGTTCACCAGTGAAAAGTCCATTGAGGAGAGGAGGTGTTTTTATGTGCAATATAGGGACCTTCAACTTAAATTACGATTTGTCTCTGGGTGATTCAATCAACATCAACAAGTATCCAGCATAACTTCCTAGTTGCTTGTTTTGCTATATGCAGTTTTAGAAGTGTATGTCCTGTTAGTTCACAACTTGAGCAAATGCCACATGGTGAGCTGCCTTTGTTATCCGTTTTTTTCCTGGTACTTTTATGGTAAGGTTGATTTAAAAGTGTTCGTATTTTTCTTCTGTACTTACCATCACTTTCTATGCAACAGTTGAAGAGAGACTTCCTGGTTGCTTTTCCCCACTGATTTTATCAGGAATTTTAAGACCTAATTGCAAGGTTTCTCAAGAACGTGGATTAAGGAGGCAAGCAAGAGTTTTACCATGGTTTTTACAAACTAAATAAATGCTCCTATTAATTCCCAGTATTTTCCCCGTAGCCAAACCGCTGTTTCGGATATGACCTCTTGGATTTGTATTCTATTTAAACTTGACATTCATCTCTGTAGAGCTCCGAATACGATGATTATCGGAGTGAACGTCATGGCTTGAAATGATAATCAAGGGCTTAATGTCATTTCCTTTCAGAATATTTGGGTGAGTACGTTTTAACTTTCCAGTACTTACTTCGGATCTGGTAGCTAGGGTCACGTATTCAATTCTCCATGTCAATGGGCCGGCTCAGCTGCGGATTGGAAACAACTTTTGGAATTGCACAGACCTGAATACAAAGCTTCTTAAAACAAATAATCAAAGCACAGGTTTACCATGACAGTTGAAAATAAACTTCAAAGTGTACAGCGAGTTTTTTCAGACGCTCTTACAGTTGAATCTCATTAATAATTTCATATCGATTTGCTCACTGATGAAGCAAAGTTCACGGGTTGGAATCCCACTTGTAATTAAAAAAAGTTACGACTTGGCGCAGTTGGAGCACAATTGACTTTAAACTCTTTCTGTGAATGACACTGTTCAGGTTAGCATGAACAGAGGATTCACTTATAAAGTTACGACTTGGTGCAGTAGGAGCACAACTGACTTTAAACTCTTTTTGTAAATGACACTGTTGTTACACATTGCTGCTGAAAGGACTTCTGAACTGCCATATCACGGCTGGATTTCTCTGACCTAAATGAAATATTTCTTAAAAACAGAGTAAGTAGTATCAAAACACTGCTTTTTTGAGCAGTCGGAAAACCGATTGGAGACTCCGTTTACTTTAAAAAGGGCCTTGGAATTGACTGCTAGACTACTGCTGACAGGCAATCAATCTTTGTCAGCTATCATCAAATAGATTTAGTCCATCGCTTGGAATCCTACGTCTTAAAATTTTAATTCTTTGATCGACTAGGAGGACCAGTGAATAAACAGGTCGAGGGTTTGAATCTCACTTAAGCCTTAACGAATAGGTTTTACTATCATCTCGGGATAAGTGCATGTATCATCACAATCACAGATGTAATGTACTCGCGGTCTCTGTCATTCTTCCTTACCTTTTAGGCGCTGGCGAACGCTAACTTCCCGCACTAAAACTGAAACCCAAAAAGATAATCTAACAGTTAGAACATCAAAAATAAACAAACATATGCCTTACCTTTAGAACTTTGAGTTGTTTTTCAGTCGAAGTTACTGTCATCATGCGTTTCTTCAGGAACACACCAAGAAATACTTCCAAAACGAGCTTCTTGAGAGCATTCGTCAAACAATCAGTTTGGCGCGCTTGGTCTTGAGAGGGCGCGCCCAAAAAGACGTCTTGGAGGAGACGATGTTAGTACGAAAAAAGTGTTTAAAAAGACGACGTACGAAGTTCCTGAAATAAAACTTTTTAAATCACTTAATGTCGGTTTATTAGAAAAAATACACTGGTGAAGCGACAACGTGTTGGTCAAACTTTATTGTAGTTTCCTTAAAAGCAATCCTTTACAACAAAAACTAACTTATTTAACTATTTAGCGCAGAATTAATTGAAAAAACAAAAGAATAAAATAAAAAAAGCTGATGATATACCTTTTGTTTGTTAAACTTTATTTTTCAACAAATTTTAATTAGACAGGTACAATGTAATTACAAGAGCATTGATATAATAATATCTTCCCGCATTCAGAACTTCACCTTCGACTTCCAAGTACGGTAGTGCCATGCGTTTCTTCAAGAATGCATCCAAAACGCAGTACAAAGGAAGAGAAAAACCGGGTCATCTTGAGGGGGCGCGCCCGAAAAAAAATGTGTCCATTCAAACTAGAAAAAAAAAGTGACGACTGAGTCCAAAAAAGATGAAATTAATGATATCTGACGTAGCTGAAATGAAATGAGTTAGTTATTTGTGTTTTTCTTGCAAACACACTGATGCCACACTCATTAAATGTCACTCAATGTTGCTTAATTAAAAGACATCACACTCACAACTCAGTGTTTTTGTTTTTTTTTATTTGTTATTGCCATTATTTCATCAAGTATTTTGTAATCCCTGCAACTCAAATCGTCATTAGTACCTATAATTAATTAAATGAAGTGAGTTAGATTTTGTGTTTTCATAGAGCAAACACACTAATGCGACACTCAAAAAATTTCACTCAATGACTCAATGTGCGTACTTAAAAGACATCACACTCACAACTCAGTGTTTTTGTTTTTTTTTTATTTTTCATTGCAAATATTACATCAAGTATTTTGTAATCCCTGCAACTCAAATCGTCATTAGTACCAATAATTAATTAAACAAAGTGAGTTAGATTTTGTGTTTGTGCGTAATTAAAAGACATCACACTCACAACTCAGTGTTTTTGGCTGTTTTATTTTTTATTGCCATTATTACATCAAGTATTTTGTAATCTCTGCAAATCAAATCGTCATTAGTACCTATAATTAACTACTTTATTATAGATTTAGCTTTAAACTAAAACAAAAAATCACACAGACGACACATTAGTTCAAGTGTTTTTATTATATTGAGTTCGTAATTTACAGAAATTAACTAATCTACGCAGATGGGGTGCGCTCCTAAGAATTTGACGTCCAAGCAAGACCGAGGAGTGTGACATGTGTCCATTAAACCTTTGACACCTCGAATGAAACACACCAGGGTCCCCCCAGACGGCTCGCAGGGATATTTGGCGGCTTGCTATCGAAACATTGTCAATACTAAGCCTTCACATTTTTTTTAAACCGAATCCGGAGCCAGATCGAAAGTCCAATCGAAAACCGGAAAAGCCGAATGGACCGAACCGAAAATTAAATTGCTTAAAGAAGAAAAAAATTCCACATACCTCGTGCCACTTTGGATTATTACTTGGGCTGATTGATGCGGTGCAATGTTTGCATAAGCTACGAACTTTAGCTTTAATATAAACACAACATCGCCGAGGAAATTTAATGTGCTAATTACGCTGTTCCAGACCAAGTGAGTCAGCTTTGTGCAGACTTTGTACCAGCATAAATCAGCCCTACCTTATATGGGCTGCTGTACACTGTCATGTTCCGCAACCAAAGGACCAAGGGGACTGGTACTCACAATCCGATACACCAAGGCGTAGATATTGGAAAGAAAAAGAAGTCGTAGAAGTCCATGATGGCGGAGTTGTCCAAAGGTGAAGTCCGGCCGGCCAATTAATTTTTAATTATAAAACATTAGTAGCTGTCTCAGCTAAAATTGAATTACGTGACATCAAAAACTGCGGAGCAGGGGACCTGAGATATCAAAAATTCAACTAATTTCAGAATTATAGTGATTAATCCTTTTTTTAAGAATGATTGAAAGAGATGGACAGATATGGGCCCTCACAGAAATCAACGTTAGTTAAGACAGCTCCCTTTAAAGTTATTGCTATATGCTGTCTCCTCTGCCTTTACCTTGCCTTCCTAATGATGAAGTAGTTTTCACTACGATGTCATCGGCTTCTGTTTGCAAAATTGCCAATCTACATTCAGCGTAATTTTCTTTCAATCAATTTTGACCCTAATCCGACGGCAACGAAAATAACTTTAGTAGAAGCAGAATTAAGTCGTAGTGTAAACGATCATCATCATCATCATCATGCTCGTCATCATCGTGGACATCATCATCATCATTGTCTGGCTTGGTCCTGCAAAGGCAGCTATTTTGGCTACTTAATTAACTGAACTATCTTTCTATTCTTGTGGAAAATCTTTGTGCTTCTTTCTTCGGCCGGCCTCTTCCTTTGATGTAGCCAAGGACCCACGATACAATACATTACAATAAAATACCATACAATGTGATAAGATATATTTTATTCACATTTCCAAAAGCAAGTATTTCTTGTTACAAGACTCAGAAGTAAGTTAAACAAACAGTGTGCTGCTTTAGGATTCAGTCCCAATCATGACGTCCTTCAACTGCAAGAGCTTTGGGAGTAGAACACTGAAGGCCACTCTCAGATCACGAGGAATAGAAAGCCACGAAGGGTTGACGTGAAGACTACGTACGCCTACCATTTGTAGACGGTCTGTGCCTGCGTAGTGCAATGCAGGGCTTCCTAAGAAGAAAATCCTCCAGCAGAGCAAAATTAACAAGAAGACAAACCATATCGTCTTAGTGTCAACGATGCCAAGCCAGAGTATCCTCTCCTATTTTCCTGTTTCCTCAGAAAAAACTATCTATAACCTGCGAGGTTTTCACCTGAATGCCATTCAGGGGCACGCATATGGTGGTATGGTGGGCCTCCACACGTGTGTCCCGAAATATTCGGTCCAGTAGCATTCTCGTAATTACTTCGCAGGCTACTAACGTTACTAAAAGCCTATCGGCTTGTGCGGGCTTCTCCAACGATGAAACTGCGTCGTAGATTGGTCTCGAAGACTTCCTACGCTTACGATTTGTAAACGGTCTAGCCTATAGTGTGTGGATTGTCCCATGTTACCCTGGTAACCTGCAACGAAGCGTTAACTCTTCGCGGGAAGAAACGCCTGGTCGCAAATTACCTTCTTTGTAAGACTATACCTGTCAACTGATCTACCCTCACAAGTTCGAAGTCTGAAAATCAAAGCACATTAAACATTTTTGATTCACATTCGTACTGTTTAACATGAAAAGTCAAATTGGACTGGGTAGGAGCAGACTTCGAATATGCGAGACTAAACTAACTATCTACCTGCAACCAGAAAGACCATTGAGCTTGTAAGTGGTGACCAAATAAGGTACTCTCACTGTAGCTGAATGAGCTAAAGTCTATGGTTTACTAAGTTATGTCTTTAAATGAACAATATCTGGTTGAACCTTACGATTGAAAGCTTCACTTGCCCAGCGCATAGACTGTCAAGTGAAGTGTTATAGATAAAATGAATTTGGCGCAACTAAGCGGGAGACTGCAGTGAAGACGATGACGACGACAGCAAGTGGCGGGCGAAGTCCACGTGAAAAAGGCGCAGAAAGACGGAGCCGAAGCGATTCCTAAATGCCAAACCGAATCCTAAAAGCCGAACTATTGTCGCTGACCGAACACCTGCAAAGGAACCCAACTTATGAAAAAGGGCAGGGGAGGCCCTTACCAGCCCCGGGAGCCCACGAGCTAATCTAACTACAGTTAAGTTAAGCCGAATAAACCGCCCGGATGCTTTAGACCGAAAGTGTGTGGATAGTATGCTTTGCAAGGTTCATCCAGAGTTCTATATAGCCCCCTTGTCCCAACCCACAAGGAATGCACCTGACCTGTACTACTTCAGGAGGCTGGGTGTGCTGTGCTGATTTGAAGCTGAGTAGTCAAAGATGATAGTCTAGATGGCTGATCTAATTTGGTAGGCTGGTGTGGCGGTGGCAGTCTACTCTGATAGTCTGACTTGGTGAACGGTCGGGTCTGATGGTCTGGAATGGTGCTCGGATTTGGTGATCTGATCTGGGGCCCATCAGATCTGTTGTGGTGGTCTGATGTGGGGCGGATCTTACACACTGGTGTACAGTGGTGGTCTGGTCCGTGGTCTAATCTGAAGGTCTGCCTGAGAAGGATGGTCTGGTTTAAGGGCTGAAAATTGGAAAGATAAAAAGATGAGGTATAGGTAGTGAAATGGCTCAAATGAGCGCGCTAGAGAACTACGTAAAGAGAACTGGAGGAAAAAAGGAATTCTTAAAATTTCACGTTCCCCGCATTTGCAACTTCGAAAATTAAGTTCTCTAACCCGAAAAAAAGGTTACAATGATCCAAACATACTGATCCAGGGCCAGCTGTGCTGACGATCTTTCCGCGCCGAATATTTTCCATTATTTGTAGCACGTATCATGAATTGCAATGCCCAGCATCATGTTACAATCCAGGCTCTGTCGCAATCTACTCACGCGAGAGTTCGCGCGTGACGCGCGCTGTTATCGCCATGTGAGGTGTGATATCAAGGTTTGGCTGCAGACGGCTGCCATATTGAAATTGTTTTGTTTGTTTTTTGCTGAACAGTTTAGCAGCAATCTGGCCAAAAATAATGGAAACCATATGAAAAATGCGAAAACTGATCACAACTATATCGCAATTAATTCATTCTTGCACTCAACATTAATCTAAAAATCAAATCATTAATATAAAATCACCCTTTTTTTTGCTATAAGAATATATTTTATAAGAATATTGAGGCTGAAATTTGCGAAATCTTAAGAATACTTTCAGAATAAACTCCAGGCTGAGATTTTGAAAAGGATATAATTTCGTGTGGTGAAAATCTGTAAATACAATACAAATATACCTTTTCAATTTATTCCTTTCTTTAAACGGCAAAACTAGCTAACTATATTTAACAAAACTATAATTGATACCTTAATATATTTTAATTCGGAAATGTCATAAAGCTTTATAAGCTATTATTAAGAATAATACAAGAATATATACAGCCTAAAATCGGCGGAAAAATAAGAATATTCAGCCTGGCCCTGGAAAACAACATTCTTATAAAAAAAAAAAAGAGTGTAGTCTAATTATTAGTTATAACTGTTTATAACCATTTTTAAGGATAGGTTTCGTGTATTAAAAAAGAAGGAGAATTCAAACACCATTTCTTATTGGTAAGATTTCCGTACAACTCCACACATTCATTGTGCATGCGGCAACTTCCATCTCACGAAGAGTGCATAATAAATGTATGGGGCTGTAAGGAAATCTTACTTTTCTCTATTCTGTTTAACATAAGTTTTTGTTTAAATAAGTTCAAAATCACAAAAACATCTAGCAAAAAAATCAAGGCTTTCGGTAATAGCCTAGATCCACCTCATTTAAAAGTATGATGGCCTCATTTTGCGAGGTCAACTCCGTCAAAATCTTGCTGCTGGGAACCGGGGAAAGCGAGAAATGGTTAAATTTGTCATATTTGAATGGATCACCAATATGAATTTGGAAGAAAAGCAAGACATGATTTTTTAGTTTTCTTTGTGGTCAATGATGTTTTCACTGAGCTTCGTTTGTAATTTAGTGACTGCCACATGCACGTGTACGAACTTTACGGCAGGGATTTCCAAGTACTTCAGAAAACTTGCTTTAGCATTTACTTTCATTTCCACTCCTTACGTTCCTTCTGACAACAAATTAGCTTAATTTAAAACAAGAATATTCGACAATGAAATAACTTCATTTTAAGTTGGACTGGCCAGAACGACAAATTTCTACCGAATTGAAGGAAACTTTAACAAGAATTTTTACCTCAGGCGCTGGTTTTGACATCCAAGACTGCTTTCATAGTAAGCTTTCTTGTAGTGAGGCTGAGAAAGAGGAGTTTGTAGCCAGCTTTCTGTGAATTATAGCGTCTTGTTTCTCTTTCGGGAGCAACCTTCGTCAGCCTTCGCAACTGAATCTATTAAGTTTTGAATGTAGCGCGGAGCAACGTTTCGCGATTTGAATAATTATTTCTGATTGGATTTTCTTACTGCACGTGTCTATGTAGCAAGAACAAGGGTTGTTTACCACCTACACCTTTTGGCATTTGGGACTTGAAGGTCGTCATTAATTAACATTTCAAATAATTTGTTAGTATAGGTCTTGGGCGACTAACCATTTGTAAGGCAGAAAAACCCATTGTTATATAACAGTGTGGGCTTTTTTCTACATATTGGCCAAAGCTGAAAATACCGTAATACTAGGCTTCAAATTCCTGTTTGGGTGGTGTATGGTGGCCTGGGAGTGCCATAAGAAAATTGTGTAGTATCTTGTAAGTTCCCCGTAATTTATTATGTTATTTCATTTTATTTTTAAACTTTAAACGAAAAAATTATTATCGAGATACTTTAAATCAAATTTAAACGAAAAAAATAGAAAGTAAAGTAAAATAATTTTTAAGCAAAAGTAAAATGAAACGAAAATAATATTTCCTTGGCCTAGCAGTGCCATAAGGTTTTGCTAAAAAAAAAAAATGTTGTTCATGGCCTATCGATGCCAGAGCCCACAATGCACTTCGCTGATCTTTTGCGTGGCTCCTAAGCGATGTTTGCATGATTTCTCTGTTTCAATCATGTCGGGTAAACGTAAGCAATGGGACGACTACAGGGGGCGCCAACGAAAGAGACGGGTAGGTGCAAAGAGCGATAAAGCTAGCCCCAGTGCATCTGAAGGCTTCTTGACTATGCAAAGACTATCGGCAAACGTTCAAGGCAAGTGCCAAAAGTACAACCGCATTGGCCCTTTAACCCTCGTGCCGTTCGACAAAGAACCAACTTTCAAGAATATCAAAGATGCCTGTAAGTCGCATTTTGGAACAAATTGCGAATGTGATGTTCTCGCGGGCGAACGCGGGCCCTCTTACATGCATGAAAGTCAGATCAAAGACTGGTCGAAGGTCATTCATATCAGATTTCTGGAATATGAAAAGTCGCAAAAAGCCGAGGAGCCAGTCTTCGTCCGGCCATTACATAAAAGTGAGCTAGTTAGCCCACGAAAGTGCGATAGTGCGGCGACAGCTGTCACAAAATCGTCTGTAATACCGCGTTCTGTCTCTCTTAGTCAAATGTTGAAAGTGGGCCAGCTTATAGAACCAGAAACAAATGTTGTCACGCTTCATCTAGAAGAATTTGCCGTCAATGAATTGAAGTGGTTAGATCCTTTTCCGGTCACACTTTCGCTGCATCGTAAGTCGTTTTCAGAAGGTGCATTTAGAGAGGCATATATGGCCAAGGCTCTATCAGGCCTTCCTAAAGGAGATTATGTATTAAAGAAATACAAAGAAGCGTTTGCGTTTGATCTTGCATCCAGTCAGCATTCCTGATTTGATTTGCCGCCATCTTCTGTGGGAAACGTCAATACCCAAGTGCATTGTGGGCTCTGGCATCGATAGGCCATGAACAACATTTTTTTTTTTTTAGCAAAACCTTATGGCACTGCTAGGCCAAGGAAATATTATTTTCGTTTCATTTTACTTTTGCTTAAAATTATTTTACTTCACTTTCTATTTTTTTCGTTTAAATTTGATTTAAAGTATCTCGATAATGATTTTTTTTCGTTTAAAGTTTAAAAATAAAATGAAATAACATAATAAATTACGGGGAACTTACAAGATACCACACAATTTTCTTATGGCACTCCTAGGCCACCATAGAAGTGCTTCATATAAATTCGACTTTTGCAAAATCGTTTGTTTTTTGGTTCTTTTGCACGATTTACACATGCAACATCAGCTTCTTGCGAATGTCCGTACACGGTAAGTGCACTTCATGCAAAGAATAAGACATACACTCTTTTTTTTTCTATAAGAATACATTTTATAAGAATAATGAGGCCGAAATTTGCAAAATTTTAAGAGTAACTTAAGATTAAGCCCAAGGCTGAGATTTTGAAAAGGATATAATTTTTTGTGTTGAAAATCCGGTTAGTAAGATACAATTAATTTATGTTTTTAACTTAACTGATAAAATTATTCCTTTCTCTAAAAGGCAAAACTAGCCAACAAGACGAAAAAACACAGCACTAACTAGATCGAAATGTTAAATACTAATAACAGTTCGCTGAAGGGTACGTGTAATACTTATGGACAGTGAATGTCCTAAGCTTTAATTTAAGAATAATACAATAATCGTTTAAGCCTTAAATCAACTGAAAAATAAGAGTATTCAGCCTGGGGTCGGGGGGGGGAGAGAAACAACATCCTTAAATAAAAAAAAATAGAGCGTAATGCCAAATTCAGGCTTACATGCAGTGAAGAACAACCCAGACGTAGGTTTAAAGAATATTTAACAATTATTCCTCGGGCCGGAATGGGCTCTGAGTCAATAGCCCATGAGGCCGAAGGTCGAATGGGCTATTGACTCAGAGGCCATTCCGGCTCGAGGAATAATTATTTTTGTAAAATCCAACTAGTTGGTCAAAAATATCGAGAATAAAAAATTTTTAGCTAGTTAAAGCTATAGACTTTAATCCTTTTTTGCCGCCAAAAAGCCCGTGCTTTTCGCTACTAGTGGGCTATAACATAAAGCCTAGTAGTAGCTCAACCAATCAGCGGGCAGCATAGATAATAGACCACTAGCTGGATTTTACTAATGCGGTATAGGGGGTACAGAATGGCTCCTTATACCCTCCCTCCTGCCCCATCCTAAGTACTAAATAGTGGTCGTCTGACACACCTTTGGTTATCATATTGGTAGCCCTGTGGCTTAAGGGTTATTATATTCCTTTGTATAGCGACGCAAGTACATAAAAAATGACACAAGTTCCCGTCACCAAGTTTTATTTTTCTTTACTTCAACAAACAGGACAAAAAAAGGAGGCTTTTCACTGTTCTTAAACTACCTAAGATCTGTCAGTTTCTTTTCTGTTACAATGCATGCCTGGCATGGTTCTCTTCTATTTGACCAATATATATCCCATGGTCTTAATATGCTTCTCACCATTATCTGGCAAGCGTGTAGCTTCATTGCCACACGAGTTGGAGTCATCGTGGAGACCTCCAGTACCGAATCCAATTCTAGAGTCGCATGTGTTGCATTCGTTTTCCTGGTTGCTAATGATACCGATTCTTGCTTTGGACTGCAGAGGGTTGACACTAACCACATTGAACCCTTCTTTGTTACAGAAGGACTGAAGAGAAGCTTGCGGGCCAATCAACGTCTTCCACATATCACGACCCAGAGACGTGCTCCTGTAGCCATTGTCTGCGATAACAGAGTACAAGGAATTGGCGTGCTTGTTCATGACAATGGATCTGATCTGTTGGTCCATTTTCATCACGAGACAGATTTGGGAGAAGGGAAGATTCCAATAAGTCGGCAGCTTGGTCTCATTGTGGTCAAATCCCGTCTCCCCTCCTGGAAGATTGAACGAGGAATTGTTGTTCCAAAATGTTGAGTTGTAGTGAAAGGTTGACTACGAAAAATGAATGAATAAATAAATGAATTAAAAAGAAACGAGGCATTTAACTTAGACTGTTCTAATTATACGCAGACGTATTTCCGCGAGCGTCCCTTCTCTGTACACCAGAAGTAACTTTTCGGGTGGATCTAGAAGTGTCGACCAAAATACGTCTCCGTTCGCAGGCTACATTTAACACGACTCTGTTATATTTGCACTGAGTAAAATGATATCAAAGCGGCAAATATTTGTTCAACCAGGCCATGCTGCAGGATGTGCTAAATCATTATCGCCATCATTTTTTATCATATTTTCTTGCAACCTTGGTAAAACATAATGTTGTTAATCATAATCGTGCACTACCTTCTGTCCGTCGATTTTCATAACCATTGTCCATCCTCCGCCCCCACATGCTCCGATACTACGGTTATCCATGTGACAGTACACGAGGATTTTTCCTGAGCCAATTTGGAGAGAGTAGGCTTTGTTTCCTTTAGACCTGATGAAGTGATGAGTCATGGTAAGTCCAAAGTCCTAAGGGTCTTATCGTGGCAGAAAAGTTAATCAATAAAACACGAATCTGACCTCTCCCGAAATTAATTAACGAAAGAAACCTACATGCTCAAAATTCCGTTTTACTGCGTCGCAACAGACACATGAACGCCGTCTTCATTTTTTTTCTCTGCATATACCAAAAAGGAACATTTTCTGGAGAGTAACGGCGCGTATTCGCATTTTCAACTTTAAACTTCCCTTCCTTTATTTTATTTGTTGTTGTTGTTGTTTTTCTTTTACCAAAAGGACTTAATTGTTCTAAAATTAATAGTAGAAGCCTATTTTTACGAAAAACAATACCTGGATTTTGATATTTTAATTTAGGCTTCAGTCATACGTGTTAACACTCTTTCAAAATTATTTTATATTTTAAACTGAACAAATTTAATCTTTTCATTTTTTGTACAAGCACAAACGCCAAAGTAAAAGGACGGGGATCTTTTCGCATTTTCCCGACATTTTTAGGTATTTTTTTAATAAGCCTAGAAACGTCTTGTCAAGTTTCCTAATATACTAACTTACTTGTCTTTGAGGTAAATTTCTCTGCACGACGTAAATGGTGTGCCTGTGTAAAAGAAATAAAAACCGTTTGAGCGACTTTTCAGAGAAATACTTATAGATCAAATATCGAAGTTTTCCATTTTGAACCGTAACTGTAGTTAGCAGCCAATAAAAGTTGAAATTACAATTAAAAATTAAAAGCTTCATACTCAGTGATTAGTGAACATCCCCGAACAATGTGGGGCGGTCGTCAGTACAACTGAACTGTAGTTCACTTAAATGTTAAAAAAAAAAACAAGGTTTGTCTTTTTCTAGATACCCTCGTCCCCCCCAATTCAATATTGAGACATAACAGAACATTTGCGGGCGCAAACAGTTTTAAGTATGTACTGACGCTGAAATGAAGTGCATTTTTTGTTACCCTGTTTAGTTTTAATAAAGTACCTAGGAAGCGGCTAGAGCACTCAAGAACTAGAGAGAAATACGTCTCATGTTTCCCCCTAACAATTCTTTCGTGTTGTAGCCGCTTCCTGCGTGCTTTACAAAAGAACAGAGCACACTGTCAAGGCTTCGTCATTGGTCAATTAGCGGCAACATTGTTTCAACTAAAAGTATTTCTTACTCGTCTCGCAGTTTTTTCCGGTGAATCCTTCCACGCAGATACACTGGTATCCATTTTCCTGGTACAACGAAATGCATTTACCAGCGTTCTTACAGGGCGAACTGTCGCACAAAGACTACACAGGGGAAAGCATATAGCTGTAAGTGACGACCACTGAATAGCAAAGTCAAAATATCATTGAGACTTAACGTGACTTATAACACTTCTTCATCCCTCCCTAAGAGTTGCACCTTAACGTGCATGATAAGGAGGGTTCTGTGCCCTGATGATCCTGGTTTGGACCTTGGTCCCTGGTGGATTCATCTGAGTGCTGGGCAGAGTTTGGGTGAAAGGGTAGGACAAATTGCAACGCCTGGCCCTTTAGAAGTTAGGCCATGGGGTTAATGTCCAATCCCCGTTAAAAAAAATACAGACGGAAATTCAGCAATCGACTTTTCCTTACCAAGTTGAGCCTCAAGTTTAGTTTAGTAGCATTTAACACAAAATATTATTCATTTAAAATATTTCCCCGTTTCTGATTGGTTAAAACCACACGCATTATTCACCATAACCAGCTGCTGTTGCATGACCAAATTTGGAAAGAATTTTGTCGTATTAAACCGATGACGTCAAAAATGCAGCCTTGTTGCTAGTCTCCCTCGCAGCCGTTTTTTGGATGTCACGCAACGCTCCGCCAATAGTTTCTACTCACTAAAAACTGCATTTTGACAAACTTCAATCCAAGGACAGCTAGTATTGATAATTTTTATGGCAATTGGATTGAGGTTAATATAACTTTTAAGGCGATTGAAAAATATCGCTATGGTCTCCAAAAAATTGTATCGAAATGTTAAGTAAAGCCCACTCAGAATCTCCACATTTTTATTAATCTCCTAATTGTGCAAGGTAATTTAACCTAACCTTATCGCGGGGCATAGCAACAGTAGTCTCAATGGTAATCAATTTTCCCCGCACATTTATCCATACAAGAAAATTGTGAAAGTTCTTATTTAATTGATATTATATTATATTGAAAACACGACTACTTCAAAGTTCACTAAGGTCGATTTTGAGAGCAATCATTTTCTGAGACTTTAAGCCCAGATCACTGTCAGAGATCTTTACATCTAGTTGACAAGATAATTTATTCAGTTGAAGCCACGTTTGCACAATTAAACCTGTTGATAATTTGCCAGACTTCTCAAAGTCCGCCCACGCGACACGTAGTCTTAACATGAAGATTGTTTTCGTTTTGAGTGGACACATTTTGATATACACTATAGAGGCAAGGACAGTTTAACTAACATTTTAAAACCATCATTGCTAACTTTGTTTCAGCATAATATGGTATGAAAACAACACAGGAGAATCTATTCCCAACACAGAGTAGTTTGCAAATATAAAGTAAGTTGGGGAAATAGGGCGGAAATTGTTTGTAGAGAGTAAAGTATTTGAAAAAGGGTTTTCCTCTTAATTTCTAGAGTTAATCACTTGAAAAGGTGAAACCACTGTTCTTTCTCTCTCCATCAAAACTCATCAAGTTCTCGTATGTATTTTAAAACAACCGTTTTTCTAGAGTGAGGATGTCAGACGAGTTGTTTATTATTTATTAATGGAAATTGTCTCGCTCATTTTGTGTACGATCAACTTAAACATAAACACACTTAAGCGACATAGTCAGGAGATGTGGGTGTTCTTTCAAAAGCAGCCAAACAAAAGACTGAGAACTTCACTTCTGCATTTAAAAAAACGGATGGATGACCCAGTAATTCACAGAAATTACTTCTTCCTTTTAAAGTGTATATGACACGAAATTTTTTTTTGACGTTTTTAGTTCTTCAATATGTTTAAAATACGTTTCCGAAATTAAAATTCGACAAAAATCTTGCAAAACCTGTTTTTTTCTGCCTTCAAAACACTCGAATTTGCCTCAAAAAATGTCCGCCCTTTCGCGCGGCCAAATTGACACGTGATGTTTGTCTGTGACGTAGATTGATTTGCAACAGAAAACAAGACTTCGTTACTTTCGTTCATATCCGATACATCGCTTGCCTCCGAACCACTGGACATTTTTAGCCCCCGAAACACCAAGATATTGTATCAACAAAATGCAAAGCAAAGACCAGAAACGTAAGCGTGGGTTTTGAGCAAGCAAATCAACTGACGTCACATTACGTTATAAGCCTTTGTATGATCCTTTACTCGTGCCCAGTCTCTAGGACATTTTTGAAGGGAAAAAATCAGTTTTTCACCTACCAAAATCCAAGAATTTTTTTTGGAGACACATTTTTAAAGTTCAGAATTGTTAATCACACTTATCTAAGGACCAAAAAAGGGCAAAAAAAAATTCGTGTCATATACACTTTAAAGATCTTTGTTACCTTTGCGAAAGATTCTCAACAACAACAGCTGTTTTTGAAAATAACGAAACACGAACGGTTTAATAGTTACAGGTGGCAGTTCTATCTTTGAATCTGCGTTGTTATGGCATCCCATAACAACGATGGGCATCCCATCGAAACAGGCAAACATTATAGGAGTTAGGTGGTTTGCTTATGTGAAAAAAGAAAGAAGAACTACATTTAATAAAAAATTTTAACAAGGCAATTTACTCGCTTCAATTCATTTATTGCCTGGAACGATAATGAATACGAATTCCCTCAGTTGAATTTAAGTTAGTAATATCCAAACAGAACAAGAAAAACACTAGAAAGCTGGAAAGTTTCGGGGCCTTAGTTAACCATCGGAAGTACAAGGGAGGTGGGGAGGCGTTGGTTGCCACCACCCTCCCCCCCTCCCAATAGGTATTTCTGCATTATTTCCAAGATAATAAAACAAGAGCACCTCACGTTTTTTTCAGTAGGTCTTTGTTTATCCCTCGCCCACATTTTGAGACAAATTAAGTAGTGAGTCAGATACTATGGTTACGAGATATCGCGTCATAAGTAGCAGGTGGTCAAGCCATTTTTCAGTAAAAATGCATTTTTTCAATTTCTTTCAGAATAAAAGTAAAGCTTGTGGATAAAATGATGAAAAGTACCTATTTACGTGTTATTTTACACTTCGAGCACAAAAAAAAAAACGAGAACGCTTTTAGTAGCGTTGAGTCTCGCTTGCTTGGAGATGAGTTTCATTGTCAAAGGCGCCGGTGCTGTTATACTACTTTTTCGTTTGGAATACAAAACGCGTGCTATATGTCATAATGTAAATACTCAAAAAGTAAAATTGCAAGGAGAGACAGGCGCTACATCTTAGCCTCAAACCGGTGTGAAACCTTTGAAAACCTTCTTCATATTGATATTGCTCCATTGAGGGGCTTTACCTTGGGCTTTACCACGGTAAATGGTAAAGCCCATTTAGGAGTACTCTTTCAGTGATTTTACACTCAAAAAATTGAACGATGATTTTTATCGGTGTCAGGGGCCCATGACTCGGTCAGATTTTCCAGTAAACCTTGAATTTTTGCTTTACCACGGTAAATGGTAAAGCCCATTGAGGAGTACTCTTTCAGTGATTTTACACTCAAAAAATTGAACGATGATTTTTATCGGTGTCAGGGGCCCATGACTCGGTCAGATTTTCCAGTAAACCTTGAATTTTTGCTCATTAAGATTCTTCCTTTTTTTTTTTCGACCACTGAAGTGATCAGTTGTTCCAAAATAATCAACACTTTCAAGCGATAGAATTCTTGGACCAACCCGTTCCGGAAAAGCTCGATATGGGATTTCTATTCTACGGACAAGAAGTGCTGCAAGTAGAGTGGAAGGATAGTCAAGTTCAAAGCTACCCGTACAAACACATACGTAACGTTAGGGTGGATTTCCACTGACGCGTTAACGCAAGTAAATTTTAATCACGTAAATAAAATAGAGGTAAGATATAAAGTGTTAAGATTAAACGTCAAGTTGAGCGAGTTTCTACTTTTACGCTTACATAATTGTAAGTGCGGCCTTTCATACATTGTTTTTATTTTATTTGCGAACGCCAATTTTACGCACGTACGAACGTAAAAATTTCGTGACAGTGGATACCTGAACTATCAAGTATTTATAAAGTGCAACACGACTTCACATCTTAACAACTGCGAAAATCTATCAATTAAGTACATAAAACAAATTGAATCTATTTAACCGTAGAAGGCAATATTCTGAGAAACGTAACGCCTTAAAACACCACAAAATAGGATTTCCCGCTATAATATTTTCTCATCCTACTTGGAAATATTTCCTTTTTAATCAGTGCCTGCATGTCGTGCATAATTACACGAAAATCAAGGGCCTCCATTCGAGGAAAATTACGTCATTGCCAAACTTACATGCGTCATTTCAGTCATCGCCCAAAATATACCGCATGCTCATCACGAGACTCATTTGCATACAGTGAAAGTCACCACGATTCTTATCCCCAGTTTCCACGGTCTTCGCTAGGAACGCGTGGCCTACAAACTAACGTATTTATTCGATTAACCGCCCTGGGCGCTTATAAAATTTTTGGACCTTGAGAGTGGGCGCTTATTCGAGGTGGGCGCTTATTCGAGGCTGGGCGCTTATTAAATTTTCACCATTTTCAGCAAGTGAAGTATGTTTATTTTGCAACAAAACAGTAAATGCTAATAACAAAACGCGAAGAAGTAACAAAGCAATTCTGTAAAATACTCTGAAGAAAACTCCATCCTCGGGGAAGTCTCCTATTAGAATTTATTCACTCAAGTGGGTGGGGTCGGGGTGAGCGCTTATTTGAGTTTGATTGGGAGGAGAAGGGGGTGGGCGCCTATTCGAGACTGGGCGCTTATTCGAATAAATACGGTAGGTCCCACCGACAAAAGAAAAACGACTGCATTTTTAGAGTCTCGCTTTGCTCAAGCAAGTTCGACTAATTACCAATCGTATCAAGCAAAGCGGGTCCAATTCGAAAACAATAGGTACTGTTTTCTGTTGTAAAATAGGCCATATTTGGTCATTTTTGAAATGACTTAAACAATGTCGTCTTTACACATGCAAAATTCCGATGACTACCAAGGCGACAAATTTGAAACGTCGGCGAGTGTCAAGTGAACAACATTCCTCGGGGGAAGGGTAAGGTTTACATTTGCCTCAGAGCGAAACTCACTGATAGAGAGAGGGACAAAAATACTGTCGTCACTCTATCAGTTCGGTTACACAATTGAAGATTTTTTTTACAAGTTTTTAAATTCAGCTTTCAAATCTCCCGCTTCATTGATTCATTTGAATAACTAATACACGCACTCAGTGGGTTATTAAGTTCAAAGTGGTAAACTTAGCATTCAAAACGCGCGCTTCGTCGATTCATTTGAATAAATTTGCACCCGGCTACCCGTAGAAAAAAATCTTTCATTCTAGTCTTCTACAAAGTGTTTCATCGAAAAGAGCGGGACACCTCCAAAGCCTAAAAAGCGCCCTGGGGACGAGTTTGAATTGGAACCGGTACAATAGACCATTTCTTGATACGAATTCACGCCGTTTTAACCTGATTTCTAATTCTTGGTAAAAAGATACCGGCCAAGATGGCGACGTTTGGTGACATCACAGGCCTCCAGCAGTACCACCAACCATAAAATATACCTCATCTTGTTGAGAAGGTCATCAAGGGCGAAAACGTTTGGAAATACTGCAACATATCAAAAACTCGGTGGGGTTCCATCAACTACCCCCCCTCGCCTCCCTTGTACCACGGTGGGGGTATAACTTTGCGTGTACGTCCGTCCCAGGGTTACTTCATGTGAGGAAACCTAGAGAAGTTAATAGTCTCTTATAAGAGGTTAATAACCGGAAATATACAAGTTCGGATTGAATTTTCTTTGTTACCCTTTCGCATAAAAGAAACAAATTTGACATTCATGCATGTCTCTTTCAAGTTTGAGGGTGGCAAACAATATATATTTTTATCTGCTAACAAAGATCCTTTTTGCACGCCAAACTGGGTTTGCTCAGTTGACTTAGCTTTGAGGTTTTTAAAAGTCAATGCAGGTTCATTTACCAAATTCGTGGACATGCCACCAGATTTCGTGCTCGACATTGTG